GTATCTAAAAAAACGGGGGAGGTGTAGTGTGTGTGACACCTCGCCCTATAAGTAAGTAGCGTAAGATAGATATTAAGACAATTAATTAAAGATATTCATAACAACAACACGTCTCCCTCATTGCTCCACATTGCAACGCTACGGCGTCCTCACCTACCGTCTGACGCAGGTCCTCATCGGACATGGGAGTTTCGGGAGGTACCTGTGTCTGATAGGGCGGGAGGAAACGCCCGGGTGTCATAGCGAGGACCGCCCTGAGGACACGGTGGAACACACAGTCGGAGAATGCCCTGCGTGGGCTGAGCACCACCGTGCCCTTAGGGACGTGATCGGCGACGGCGACCTCTCGCGTCCGGCACTGGGTCGCGAAGGACACTCCGGGCGTCGCGGATCGGGGCTCCGAGTCGAAGTAAGAGCAGGCACGGAATGGTTTATGGCCTTACGCACGGCAAGAGAAGAAAATCATTGAATGATATTCCCCCTCCATAAGAAAGATGTAGTTTATTATATGGGCCTTATGGAATCTGGAATAATTTCCAGGCGTTTAGGCGTTTTTTGACTAAAACTTTTGACCATCTAAAGTTTTTTAGTCGAAGTCCCGCGTTCCTTAGCACCTGGGATTCGCCCAGTTATGACTTATGCAGTGTTTTTATAGTAGGCTTATAGGGGGCGTATTTGCGCATTTATAGGCTTAAGGTACTACAGGCTGCCGATGGTGATGATGGATTCTAATTTCTCTTCTAAAGATTTATTTTGTTGTTGGTTCCAAGGTAGTACATATTCTGGATTGTATTAATTTCATAGTTTCCATATTACTAGTGGTTTCCTATCTGACTACATGGAGAAGATATTCCGAAACAAACTCAGAGGTCAACTCTTTCAAAGTCTAAACAAATAAATGATGCGTGAAAACCGTAAAAGATCATTTTGCAGTAGTTATTTTAGGAAAGCTCACCAGTCTGAGTGGACCTGTTCTGATGGCAGGCATGTGTCAGTTTAGAATTAACATACAATGTGATAATCATTTTCAACTCGGGTCATACCTTTAACAATGTTTTTGTTTGCACACAAATTTTGAGAAAACAATTATACTTATCTCTAGTCAACATATATAAAATATTTGACAGTCATTAAGGATAGCAATTACATACTACCGAGTACAAAGTCTGCTACCCCCACCATGGGAATAGTAGGAGCCAATGAAATAAGTATGTTCAACAGACACCAGGTAGTAGCACTGTCCGTTTTAATTAAACTACAATCTCAAACCCGCCGACCAAGCATGAAGATTATGACAAACCCTTGGGCAGTTGATAGAATGGAGTACAAAGTGAATGTAACAAAAAACTTCATTCTGGAAATGCATAGGAATGCATTATCTTGGGTGATTCTATGCATCACCGACTTGTGTACAGTAAATGTCTATGAAGCACAAAAGTTTGTTGTTTTTAAATAGTCTGTGTCAGACAATTCCAGCAAAAAAAAAGAAAGAAGAAAGAAATCTGATCACATATTTACAAGTACATGTGAAGATTTCAGAATTTGTGGTTTCAATGTATCTGAATTGTCTATGTCATATAGCATTTGTTATGAACATTCATGTCATTTTGTGAATATCTTTTCAAACATCAAAGCATGATAAGCTAATGAAGATTGAAATAGGTACTAAACATCAAAAAATTCGGTGTTTAGAGAGCAGAATACATTAAGCAATTGATTTGAGTAAGTAGTTCCACTTTGGAGTTCAATGTAAGAATATTATTAAAACAAAATAAAACATGTGTATGTATGAAAGTCTAAGCTTGCTTAAAGTAGCATGTTGGAATTATTTTCGACCTTAAATTTTTATTATTTGCCATACATCATGTTGCATCTTTGTCTGCCATTATTGAGGAGGAGACCTTGTGGTATTTTTCATAACATGTAATAAGTAAACTCGCCGTTACCGAAAATCACAGGTTTCTACGTTCGTCTAACGTGGAATTAAAACGGCAAACATTTATTTCTTACTGTTGTTACAAAATATACGATCAGCTGATTCCTTTGTTTGACTACTGCTAAGATAGTCCTTACTCTACAAGCTGTTATGACACGTCAGACACGATTCATCTAATATTAAATGACACAGAACTCTAGTCAATAATACAACACCAACGTTATAGCGAATTGACGAAGAGTTTTGCGAATATCTAATCCATAAACAAACCTTGAAAGTTCTTACCTTTATAATGGACTCGCAGATTATTCTGCGACAACCCGATATAGCTGAATTTATCCTTAGTGCTCCATGATCTTGGTAAAGGCGTTTCTTCCTCGTTAACGTTAGGATAAAGTAATTTCAAACGATCGACATTATCACTTTGCACTTGATTTTGGGAATCCATTATTATTGGTACACTACCTATCGCAGCCATTTCTAATTTCTTTATTGTAATTTCATGTCATGTCAGTGACGTCAACAACTATAGATGAAAACTATTCAAAAGATGGCAGCACAAGTGTCTCTATGGTATTTACGGTTTTGTTTATGCTTGGTCATAATCTAAACCGATAATCGCCGTAAAACACAATATAAAAATAAGTAATAATAGGAAATAAAATAATCGTCGGAGATGAGAAAAGAGAAAAGTAATTTATCGGATAAGTACTTAAAATGTTTAATTAATACTGAGTAAATAGTGGGCATTTTTTCGCTTTTTTTTGATAAATACAGTATTCTCAGTATTTATTGATTTCAATTCTTGTTTATAATATTTATCCGAAAAATCGCCCATTAATAGTCGTAGTAATCTAAGTAAATAAATCAAAGCTATTATATATACTAGTAATTAATTAAAGTAAGAAAGATATATGAAACCAGGGAACCCGATCTTACTTTGCATTGGAATTTATTTGTCTTGCTTAGGAACCTCCTCATAACGATGATAAAACTACTAATGAACAAGTTCGGATGTTTTCACACATTCAACGATTTTTTTTATAACGACTTTCATGAAAAAAAGTATCTGTACCTACTGATGAGTGACTGACTTCAACCTCGTAGAAGTATAGCTAATATATACTATACGAATGTGTATATATGTATATACATACTGTATACATAAACTATTTTTATAAGGGGAGAAAATCATCGAATAACTTTTCCCGCCTGGGTGAGGCGGGAGGAAGTGTCAGACTCTTACTGACTAAAAACCACCCCGTTCCTTCTCCTGCACGTCGAGCCGGAACCCCGGTAACCCGTTAGGTTCTCCGTGACTCCGATATATATAGAATACGGTAAACGAACGAAATCTACCATTACAAGTTTTATATAAAACTGAAAAACTTAGAGGCACAATGAAACGCAACAAGATAATCACCATCACAACTAATATTAATTGAAACTCAAAGATAAGCAAATCGATTCTACGTATATTGTAACATTATGGCTAGTATTCCTAAAAACATAAAATCTCTGGATAATCAAATAAATGAACAACTTAAGTGTCTCAAAAAGACAAACAGTGAGTTACTTGAGGTACAGCAAACAGAGTATGATCAAGTCTTGAAGGTAAGAACTTTAACCCCGTAAATCCTGTTATTGAATTATTCTTGATTCTCTAACTCTTATCGCGACTTATCTGATAATAAAGTTTCTGAAGTAGTATCAACTTGCGAAACGATTAAACAGTATGGAATCATCTTTATTTTATAGATTTATGAAAAGGCATTTAAAATATTAATTAATGACTCAGTTACGTATTCTGGAATCCTTAACAGAATAAAACAAGCCTATGACAATGCACTTGAAGTACGCAGTAAACGTATTTCACAATTCATAACCCAAGACGTAAGTACTGTTTCGATTAAGATATTATTAATTAATATGTTTATGTATGTAATGTAACTAAACCATTACAGTTTATCGATACTACGCTACCGTATCACTAAAAAAATTAAACATTTTTATAAAACGTTACCCCACGTCCCCACACGAGGTACTTCTCCTGCGTCGTGGGTTCGTTTACAAACATACAAGTTCACACACACACATGACACCCAGAACCGAAACAACAAATTGTGGATCACACAAAGAGTTGCTCCGTACGGTAATAAAATCTGCTACACGTTCCGCGGCAGCCGGTTGCCCAGATACCTGCTACCGCGCCAACCATCAGTCAAAATAACATTATTTTCTTCCCAAAAATCAACCCAGGATTTTGAGCTTGTAAGCTGGAAATATATATATATACATATATAATATTTGTATAGACCCGTATTTTTTTTAAGGGGGGGAAGTCTTTTTTGCGTCTATAGGGAAAATCATCGAATGACTGCTCCCGCCTCTGGGTGAGGCGGGAGGGAGTGTCAGACTCTTACTGACTAACAACCACCCTGTTCCTTCTCCTGCACGTCGAGCCGGAGCCCCGGTTACCCGTTAGGTTCTCCGCGACTCCGAATCAGCATCCCATCTGTGGTGGACATCTCTGGGTATTGGCTACGTGCACAACGGTGGCGACCCGTAGCGTTTACATCATTTGCGGAAGCTGTCAAATAATAACAATGTAAACATTATAGTTTTCTTTGCAAATATAAATAAAACCAAAAATTAAAATAGTATTGTTGACATTATTTATGTGCAATTTATTAAATAGTTTTACTGTAAATATAATAATAAAATATATAATAACACATAATATTAGTTTCCAACTACAAACTGAGACAAAAGGCAATGAATTAGTGTTAGCCGAGCATGTAAGAAATGTGGAAGAACTGCGACATAACGGCCAGAGCTACTTAATACGAGCCATGGTCCAATTCTTTGCTTTGATTTTGTACTGCAATCAACACATTTTACAGCTGATCAAACCCCTATACTTATTATACGCTTTGGCTGATCATGCCCATTTGTTTCCAATTTCTGCTGTGTTCTGCGCTGCGGTCGTTGTCTGTCCGCCACTACTCGCTTTGCATAGGCGCTGACAGTACTTGACACTTGACAGTAGTGAGTGACATTGCTACGTGCGATCTGATTATCTGAATGTCTGAATCTGACATATGGATTTGACATGACAACGGTTTGACATATTTTTGTTTTTACTTTGCAGTCAATCCCAACAATTACAATTAATAATTCACTTCATACAAATACAAATTACAAAAGTACACGTCTTCAAATCAAACCGAAGTTACTATTTTTGTTTAAAAAATATTTCTTAATTTTTTCGCTGTACTTTAATCGTCCAATGCTAGATGTCTGCCACCGGCGATGTAGCACCCACCGTGTTAGTGCTGGATGGAGGGTTCTCGACTCAACTGTCATGTCATGTGGGTACCTCAGCAGATGGAGATCCGCTCTGGAGCGCGCGGTTTCTTGAGACTCATCCTGATGGTGTTGTAAACACACACCTGGACTTCTTGCGCGCCGGCTCTGACGTTATTATGACTAATACGTATCAAGCGTCTGTTGGAGGTTTCGTAAAACATTTAGGTGTTTCACCAGAACAAGGATACGATCTCATTAAACATGCAGTGGAACTTGCCAAACGTGCCCGAGACATTTTCTTAAAAGAATGCCAGGAAACAGGTGATGTGATTCGAACCCCTCTAATAGCGGGCTCCATAGGGCCATATGGAGCACACTTGCATGATGGCTCGGAATACAGTGGTGACTATGCAGATATTACAGGTGTGGATGCCATGAGAGAGTGGCACATGCCAAGGATCCGTGCTTTAGTTGAAGCTGGAGTAGACTTTTTAGCTTTTGAGACCATTCCTTGTCTGAAAGAAGCTGAAATGCTTGTAAAAATTTTAAAAGAGTATCCAAAGATGAAGGCCTGGCTGAGTTTTAGTTGTAAGGATGAGCATTCATTAGCACATGGAGAAAACTTTAAGGAAGCAGTACAGACATGCTGGGACTTGAACCACTCTCAACTGATGGCTATTGGTGTCAACTGCTGCTCACCAAAAATTGTTGCAAAGTTATTCAAGGGTATCAACGATGAGCGCCCACACTCTCCCATACCATTCATTACATACCCTAACTCCGGAGAGAAGTATAATCCTGAAATAGGCTGGATTGATCAGGGCAAGTGTGAGGCCCTTGCTAGTTTTGTGCCAGAGTGGTTGGATGTAGGGGTTAGGTATGTAGGGGGATGTTGCAGAACTTATGCTACTGATATCTCCCTCATCAACAATCAAGTCCAAATTTGGTTGAATAATCAAAGTAAAAATGTGGAGTGTCACTAAAATTTGAAATTGATCTAGTTTCTCAATGCAATGTTTGTGTTTTAGATTTCTGGTTATTGTTATTAAAATAAACATTTGCACTATTATAAATCAAAATAAAAGAAAACATAATTATATATATATAGTGTAAAATCAAGTAAAATTGTGCAATTTTTTGTTATTATTGGATTACATGTTTGTTATAATAAATGGTTGTTATTATTGCATCAGATTATTTAATTTAAAACATGAAAACAATGACATAATCGTGTTATTTGTATGCAAATGCATATGTATAAGACCTCAATTTACAGAAAGTATTTGGTATATCTGCCAGAAAGAAACAGCATGATGTCAAAATGGAAAAGTTGATACAGGGAAATGAGGATTTGCGAGAACAAAATATACAATTGATCTTTGAGAATAACAAACTAAAAAGAGATATGGGAAAGGTGTGTAGGTACTATGGTACATAATGTGGTGGATGGGACAACTTGATGTACTCAATGGTGTGACTTGATGATGTGTGGTGTGTTCTCCAACTCATGTGTTGTCAATCGGAGAATGTTCTTCCATCTTTTGTTCCTATGGATGTTTATGTAAAACTTATCTTTCTGCTTAGTTATGACGTCATACTCGTACACCCAAGTCACTGTTATCGTTACTTGCATGATCCGTATGGCATACTTTGTACCTACCTAGACAACAAGGCGTAGTATACCGACTTCCCACGTGATAATTTGCATTATGCAGTGGAGACTCATAAAAGCGGTAATATGGTATTTAAAACTATAAAAATTCAACTGATTGCCGTGTTAAGGAGTCCAGGGTGGCCTGTGAAATTTAAATTATCGTAATTTTTTTGCGATTCACAGCTCGAGATTGAATAGCATGATGATAAAATATGGCTGTGTAAAAAAATTAGGTAGGTACCTAATATGTACGAAAATTTAAATTTTCCGGGCAAACCTGGAACATTCACCGTAAGGTCAAGTCATACTGTCACATGCTCACATGTCACACTTAAAATGCATAGATAGGTACCTAATGATAGTGCTCCCACACCCACACTACGCGATTAACAGTTAATACTTAATAAACATTTATAAAAAGAATAATGTCCCTTGATGAACATGTTCACTAATATTTGACTAGAAATGCGAGTACCCTGGACCCTTACGTTACAGCAGCGGCATGAACCTTACCAACCGCTCCAACTAGTCGAACCATTAGCTGCCAGTGCAAATTATTAATTAGATGTTTTAACCAGCTTAGTGACGACAAATTCTCCGACTACCTGAACCTGATGAGAGAGCGTGACGCTCGCTATACGCTCTACTTCGAGAACTTGGAGCTGCAGATGAAGCTTAAGGAACTGGACGGCAGCTTATACCCGGTGGATGATGCTTACGGAGACCCAGTCGTATTGCGAATAGCACTTGAAAAGTGCAGGTAGGTTGGCGGGTGTAAGTATTTATAATGGCTAGGGTGTGCGACCTAGGCAATGTACAGAATGCCCTATATTTGATTATTATAATATAGGTAATTATGGCACATTGAAATGGGATAGGTTGATGGGTCCATTTGGATGCGTAGGTGTGTATAAAAATATTGCTATTGTCCGTGCAATCTGTTTTATCAGGGAGCAATTATCAAATACCCAAATGGAACTAAATAAGATGACGGACGAGTATGCGGACACTGTGCCTCGGCGGGATTATGACACTTGCGAGGCGAAGTACTACAATCTCTCCAAGGCTTTCGACAAACTAGAGGAAGAATATAAACTTCTTCGACAGACTAATAAAAGGCTTATGGGTAACCAAACTACCTATTTCTGTACCTTATACTGTATTCTATTTTCTTTGGAAACAATTCAGTTAACAGGAAAGCGAAGGCGAATTTAAAGTAAGTAATATAATGCGAAATTCGAATGCAGAATTAGATTTTGGTAGATGCAACGGCTCCTCTGCAATAACTAAGTAGGTACCTACTGCAGCTCTCGCTACCTGGTTAATGCGGCACTCAACTACGTTTATCTTGATTGGATTCCAACACAAGTTTCTAAAATGTTTCTTTCAGATGCAAAAGCATCTATCGAGGAAGAGTTGTTTGATACAAAGGAGCGATGCGGTGAGCTGGAACGAGCTGGCACACCTCGCCCGCAATGGGAGCTGTGCGCCGACTTCATAGGTGGAGGAAGAGAAAGGTTAGATATATATATATCTAGCTTAGCTACCAAACTAACGTAGGTAGGTAATATTGTAAACATTTAGGTTACTTGCATCATTTTTTTCTACGTCCTTGCTCCTTGGCACCTAGTATTAAGTATTTGAAATAGGTGGGTATAAGGTGAGATATTACAAAATAAACACATGGGATTGGTGCAGGCGCAGTTAGTGGTTCAGATCGTGAGACTGAACATATTTTGGTTTAGCACTTTAGTCTACATCGTCATCATCAGCCTGTCATCCACTGGTGAAGATAGTCGTCTCCAAAATTGCGCCACTTAGCTCAATCTTCACATCCTACCAGTTACTTACCAGTAAATATCGCCAAGTTTGCGGGGGCGCGGTGTACCCTAAAGCTAAGGACTCACGGCGCGATCTTCTCCCACGCCCGCCGCGGTGGCGGAATGGAGGCGGAAGTTTCAAAACTCACGAGATCGCAGTTTTCTGCGATCTCGCAGCCGCTGCGGTGCTATTATCGTCCGCAAACTTGGCGGAAAAAAAAAAAAAAAGCTGTATTCTTCAAAGGCTGCGGGGCCGCAACCGCGGCGGGCGATTGCGGCCCCGACGTAGAAAATCGTGTCGTGAGTTTTTAACCTAATAGTCGTAAGACGCCACGATCAAGCATTTATATTATTTAAGCAGTCGAAAATAGGAATGTACCTGGGTGCCTGTACTACGTCCAGGTCACGCGCACGGAAATCACCATTCCGGACATCTACAGAGTAACGGAGTTGGTCTGTATGCCGCCGCAGCCAGCAATTCCGTCACTCGTCGCACAACTGCCACCGGCCTATGGCATGTGTGCGGTGCGGTGAGTGACACCCGGCCAGCGAGTGCCCCCGCCCGAGGGAAGAGCCGCCGATATGCGCGAACTGTGGAGGAGCACACACGGCGAACAACTCGTCGTAGTCGTCGTGCCCGGTGTTCCGCCGCGAGACGCGCAACCCATGGGCGGGCACTGTGGCGCACACCACCCCTGCCACGACAACTATAACGAAGCCCACAGTAGCCCAGCCAAAGGGCGAGCTCAACGCCCCTGGCGAGCTCAACGCCGCGGCTAACGAGCCGGGTGCAAAACGCCGCACAAGGCGCAGGCGCAGGAAGGCGAAACAGAAACAGGTGAGTGGACTGGCAATCCTGGTCAGGAGAAGAATCCACCAGCTGGTGCCGGTGCCAACGGTGCGCGCGTCCTACGCACTGGGCCTGGAGATCTGCGTCATCCACCAGCTGACCCGGGTGTTCGCGTTCTACAGGCCGCCACGATACCGCCTCGCAGTGGCTGACGTCCACACCCTACTGGCCTCGCCACTACCAACCATCATCGCTGGCGACTGCGAATCTGAAGCACACGGCGTGGAGCACGAACGCCAACACACAAGAAGGCAGTCGCCTGTTTGGAAGCCCCGACGCACTACCCAGGCCACCGGCAGTTGATGCCCGACGTCATCGACCTGGTCCTGCGTGGTATCACCGCGACGGTCAGCTGTGACGTCCTGGACGATCATCTCCGGTCACCAGCCAATGATCGCCCCATCACGCTCCTGGACACTGTCTCGAAGCTATAGGCCCATCACGCTCCTGGACACTGTCTCGAAGCTATCACCCCATCACGCTCCTGGACACTCTCGAAGCTATCGCCCCATCACGCTCCTGGACACTCTCGAAGCTATCGCCCCATCACGCTCCTGGACACTGTTTCGAAGCTATCGCCCCATCACGCTCCTGGACACGGCGGTGCTCAGCCCACGCATTCCCCTACTGTGTGTTCCACCTTGTCCTCAGGGTGGTCCTCGCAGTGATGACACCCGGGTGTTTCCTTCCGCCCTATCAGACAAAGGTACCTCCCGAATCTTCTATGTCCGGTGAGGATCTGCGTCAGGCGGTAGGTGAGGACGCCGTAGCGTCTCTCAAGTGGCTTGTGCTTGTACCGCTGTAATGGCAGCGAGCCCATCCATTACATATCTTAGCATCATAATATCTCTGTTTCAAACAACACATGAACACTTTGGTTGCATGTGTCAGTAAATTTTAAGCACATTTTCAAAAGCAACAAAATATAATTGTTATATGTTTATTTATTTATTTATTTATTTATATTAATTACAACGGTTACACCAATGACAGCAATTAATTAATTTGTTATAAGACCATTATATCAATATTACAAATACACATTCAAATCCATGTCAACATTAAAAGAAATATAATAAAATAAAATAAAATTCAACTTCATGTCAGAACCTAAACCATATGAAATGTCAAGATTAATCAGAAAATATCATTATGTCAAACTTGTCAGACTCAAAGTACCCACAAAACATTTGAAAAAAAAAACTAATAAATATTATATTATAGTAGGTAAACTGTTCGTAAGAATTAAGTCACAATAAACCTACATGTTATTTACAATTTAGTACAACATTTTCACA